AAACAAATTGGACAGGTCAGAGACTTTTTTTTTTACAGTCCCATGATTTGAAGGGATGAAGTTTAATTCTAATTTAGAAATCAGAATTCAGCCTTTTGGACAGATTGTTTTTCAAATTTTGAGCCTTTTAGGTTCATGTTTTTAGGGCTAGAAACTTTCATTTTTCTTTTTAAAGGAAAGTGATATTCTCACATATTAAATTTACTTCAGGAGCTGTTTTATCAAATACACTAAATATCATGAGACCTGTCCCAGACTGGTGACAGATCTGGCAATTTTCTGCAATCTCTTTGAGAGATCTTATTGTATTAAGTTGGTGTCACTGTGGGCCAAGGATTGAATGTAATCCTTTGAGGGAAGGTAACCACATCCCCTCCAGGAATTTAAAGTGGGGGCTGGAGGTAGGCAAATTCATTCAGGTTGTAATAATTCCAGACAGGTACCAGCACCTGGGGAAGCTCTCATATACTAGTTCAGACACGATTCTCCAGAGACCAACAGACAAACAAAGAACTTTTGGATAAATAGCCTGAATTTAAACTTAATCAGGGCCTTCTTTCTGATCCATCAAATGGAAAGGACCTTCTCTCCTAGGGATGCCCCAAGGGTTAGAAGGACTTTGGCCTACTGAGGCCCCATAAGACTGATGTTCTCTGGTAACCTCAGTAGCACACATGTAGGTTCTTCTGTTCCTTTAATATGTTTTTTCTGTTGTGCTTTCACCTTAAGGATAAATGTGCTTGCTTAGAAACAGTTGTGTGGTAACTTAACTGTGGGCAATTACACTGTTTATAGCCTTTGAGGAGAAAGCAAAGGAGGCCTGCTCAGGCAGTCTGACTTGCTGAGAAACTGACAGTGTAGGCAGGGAGCTGTGCAGTTTGGAAAAACCCTGGTTAGGAGGGCGAGAGACACGCATCTCCACCCAAGAGAGGTGACAGCTGAGGAGCTGAGAGCCTAGAGTGGATGCCTTCGTGGATCCCAAGGACAGGGACATACAGGTGCAGTTGCCCTGAACTGTGACAAAATTCACAAGAGTACATTTTCTAGATTTATTTGACATCGACCTTGCAACATTTGAAATGTTGTTGTACACCTAAATATTTATTCCTGTTTTCAAGATTTCTTGCTTGGTGTTCTTCAACAGTATTAAGGAGACTGTGCATATTTCATAAAGTTTTGGTTTTACAAAATCTCATTTAGCCATTTCTGAGCCATCAGCATTCGAAATGTGTTACTACTTTGTGGCGTGTGCTTATAATACAGAGGATTGATTTTTCATAAGAGTTTTGTACTTATATTTTATTAATTATTTTTAATTTTCCATAATTTAACATTCAAATTTAGACAAAAAATATATCAAGTAATCCCAATTTAAAATATCAGATCAATAAAGGCAAATTTGGAGGGGTATAATAAAGATGATTACCCCTAGTAAACATCAGTGCTCCTATGAAGTCTATATGTCACAACGGGTTACGTCAAATTAAAATTATACACCAAAACTCAAAGCACAAAGTGAGTAGTAGGTAAACTAGTAGAAAAAGACCATTAAAACCATTTTTTGTCTAAGTGTGGATGAGAAATAATCCTGGAAAAAAATATGAAAGATTTTAACATGTCAGAAAAGGTCATCCTCACTTATAATCAGCACTCTGATGCTTTCCATGGATAGAGGTTTCATTGCCAGATCTAGGAAGGCAAGGTGGGAGGACAAAAATATCCTGCTGTAACAGATTGGTTTCTGTACACCGAATAGCAGACTTCTTAGAAAATGTGTCTGTCAAGATGAGACTGAGAATTCAGCAATTATACAACCCAGGGGAACTGGCTCTTAGACAAACGGAAATCTTAAGGGCTGAGAAGCATATCTCAGAAATGTTGTATATTTAGGGTAAAGTTACCAGCAATGCTTCCTATCTGCATGCCTGGTTCCACAATTACAAGAGCTGAAGTAAAACATTCCTACCTTAAACCAATAAGGCCCCATAGTTAGATTCTGGGTATATTTTTGAGCTATCTCCCTCTGAACAGATAAACCCATCAGCATTCTGAGTTTCATGGTTTCTTTCATTCATGGTTTCTTTGGGGCCTGAACTTCATCCACTGGAGGAAACACACATACCTTTCATTCATAAATGAAAATGGGTGTGATATGAAAAAAAAAAAAAAACTCAACTTTTAAAATGTAAGTAATTTAATTATGAGATACAACAGCATGAGATAGTTGTCTCAACAGGGCCTAGCCTGGGAAAAACTTTAATGTTTAGGTCACACAGCCATAGGGCTAGAGAAACATACTACAAATCTCCATTCTGTAAAGATATAATCATAATAAAACATTACTGTAAGAATTTTTTTTCCCAAATGTTATTAATTGATGTTTTGAAAATTATTCTCTGTATCAGGCACTCATAGCAGTAAGAAATAGTTCTTTGGTATAGCAAACTGTACAGTGATTTGGTTGTCTGTGTTTAAAGGATTTACTGTATAATAAAAATTACTATGTACTGCTGTTGGTGGCACTTATCTGATAAGAGAGTCATAAGATGATCAATCTGCCTGAAAGAACTGAAAAGCAAAGCAATTCTGATAGTGAAACTTCAAACCAGATGATGCTCTGATTAGAGGCACCCACAGAGATTACACAGGTATAATAAATCATTTAAGATTTTTAGCTTCAAATAACACAAAAGAATGCAGTTTTTTATTAGAAAATAAACTGTTTATCAAGAACATTTTGAAGGTGACATTTATAACTCATAAACCATCTTGGAATGGTTAGTCAAATAGATTACTTCATTGGCAGAACACTCAGAGAGACTTTGTTCTGAGAAAGAATTATTAAGGCAGGCCATGAAATGCCCTATGCGCTATTCCATTGTTGTTGAGCAAGAATGCACAAGTTGTTCACACTTCTTTTTTCAAATAAAAATATTTTTTTTTTTTTGCCAAAAAGAGCAACCTTAAACCACCCTTTGAAAGCTAATTTGCTCAGGCTTGGACTATGAAGGAATTGCTTACCTTGAAGGTGCTCTTAAAATACTGTATGCAGCCAGGAGAAGGTAAACATATCTCCTTTCTAAAACCAAATAACTAATTCAGTAAATGTAGGGAAAGGACAAAAAGCTGAGTGGAGACTGTGAGCATATTCAATTCCCACTGAAGTAAAATGGCAATTGCGGGTACAGCAAAATCTCAGAGTTACAAACACCAGAGTTACGAACTGATTGGTCACACACCTCATTTTGAATTGGAAATACGCAATCAGGCAGCAGTAGAGACCAAAAAAACAAACACAGTACTGTGTTTGTTAAACACTCTGTGTTAAACATAAATGACTAAAAAAATAAAGGCAAAACAGCATATTTCTTCTGCATAGTAAAGTTTTGAAGTTGTATTAAGTCAATGTTCAGTTGTAAACTTTTGAAAGAACAACCATAACATTTTGTTCAGAGTTACGGACATTTCAGAGTCACTGATACAGCGCGATCCAGATCACCTGTTAAGTGAGGTGCAAGCAGATATAATGTGTTTTAGTAGAGATATATGTAAATGTGTACATCTAAGAACAAAGAATGTAGGCTGCACTGACAGGATGGGGGACTCTTCCTGGAAAGCAATGACTCTGAAAGAGATTTTCAGGGTGCTGGTAGATAATCTGCTAAACATGGGCTCCCAGTGCGATGTGGTGGTCAAAAGGACCAATGCTATCCTTAGATGCATAAACAGAGGAATCTCAAGTAGGAGTTATTTTACCTCTGAATTTGGCACGTCTATGACCACTGCTGGAATATGGTGTCCAGTTCTGGTGCAACAGTTCAAGAAAGATGTTGATACATGGGAAGGGTTCAGAGAAGATCCATGAGAATGATTAAAGGATTAGAACACATGCTGTATAGTGATAGATTGAGCTCCTGGAGTCTATTTAGCTTAACAAAGAGAAAGTAAAGGCATGACTTCAATATAGTCAACAAGTGCCTACAAGGGAAACAAATATATATTCAGTTTAGCACAGAAAGGTATAACACAATCCAATGGCTGGAAGTTGAAGCTAGACAAATTCAGACTAGAAATAAGACATAACATTCTTAACAGTGAGGGCAATTAACTGTTTTAACAATTTACCAAGGGTCATGATGGATTCTCCATCACTGGCAATTTTTAAATCAAGATTGAATATTATTTTTAAAAGATATACTGTAGGAATTATTTTGGGGAAGTTCTATGGCCTGTGTTATACAGGAGCTCAGAGTAGATGATCACAATGGTCCCTTCTGGCCTTGGAATCTATTAATCTCTTACCAAGTTGAGGCCTCCAACCTTTATTATCCAAGCCCGGACAGTAGGATCCATGTTATGATTAGTCCATATTCCATACTTAATTATTTGGTCATGAACTGAAATTTCTGTTCCTTTTATTACAAGTAAGGAAATAATCCATTTTGTTTTTCTCTTATTCTCACCAACTTGTATGTGTTCTCGGCCATTCATAGAATACATTGCATGACTGAAGCTTGGGGTGCATTTCATCAGAAAATCAAACTTCTTGCACTCAAAAAACATTAACCATAAAAAAAAATCAAACTCATTTTAAAACATGCTCCCAACAATCTGTGATAAATAATGTAACTCATTTATGGACTAGATTATATATAAACTAAATGTATCCTAGAAATTACTAAAATGTATCTGCAGAAAGTTACATATATATGCCACTATCCAGAAATCTCTATTACACCTCTACCCCGATATAACGCTGTCCTTGGGAGCCAAAAAATCTTACCGTGTTATAGGTGAAACCGCATTATATCAAACTTGCTTTGATCTGCCGGAGTGCGCAGCCCCGCACTGCCGGAGCACTGCTTTACCGCGTTATATCCAAATTTGTGTTATATCGGGTCGCGTTATATTGGGGTAGAGGTGTACTAGCATGTCATCATCATTGCCTCATATTATATTGTCTTTTTAAATATAGTTTACTGTACAATATTATTTTCCAGGAGATGACCCATTCTTGGCCTCCCCCACTCTCAGCTATTCACACACCTGGAAAAGTGGAACAGAGCAAGTTTCCATTTGCAAACAAGGTAAGAAATTCTTTATAGTCTAGAAACCCATCTCCCCCACCCTCAATATACAGCCTCAACTCTGATCCCCAAATAACCTTGTGCTGCCACTAACTAGACTGCTAGGTGCATGTGCGGAAAATAGAGAGAATACATGGGTGAGTGTTGTAAAGGTTGTTGACGTGTGTCTGGGAAAGTGGTGAAGTCACTAGTGATTTATGTAAGTTATCCCAGACCAATAAAACGTTTCGATCACACCACCGGCGCGGGCTGAGGGATGTGCTGGCGGCTGCTTCCCGCAGCCCCCATTGGCCTGGAGCGGTGAACCACGGCCAGTGGGAGCTGCGATCGGCCGAACCTGCGGACGCTGCAGGTAAACAAACCAGCCCAGCCCACCAGGGGGCTTACCCTGGTGGGCCGCGTGCCAAAGGTTGCCGATCCCTGCTGTACTGTTTAAATGCCACAAGTATATGCCAGAACTATTTTAGTCCTGAGTTAAAGCTTTTAAAGGTTTATTGGTGCTAAGTATTGTTTGTAATATTCTGCTGGTGAAACCAATTGTGACAGATATGGCAATTTCCTGCAATATCTTTGAAAAATCATATTGAATTAAATTTAAGTATCTTTGGGGTTCTTTGTACTTAATGCAAAGTGTATGTATTAGTGTGGGCCAGGATTGTGTGTAACTTCTGTAGGAGGGAGATGTCATGGAAGGCCTGGGTGATCAAATGACCATGTTGCATAATGTGCTAGACAGGAATGGACTTTTGGGACAATACACGTGAAATGGATTTCCTGTGAAATATTCAAGAAAACCATCTTTTCAAGCTAAGCCCTGAGGAGTGGACCTTTGTCTGCTTATCACCTATTACATGAAGCCAAGATCACAGGCCCAAGCTGTAAAAGTAAAGACTGAATTATTCTTTGTTGGTTCTGAATCTGAGACAGTTATGAATTCGTAACCACAGGAAAAACCCAGCTGTGGGTTTTGGAGGACATAAAACTACCAGAGCCCAAGGTTGGAATTGGGATGACCTCTCGTAAGCTTTTTAGTGTGTGTGTAGGTTCTTTTATTGTTTTAATGTTTTCTCTGTGATGCTTTCGCTTTAAGAATAAATGTGTGTAATAACTTGTGACTGCTGGCAATTACAGCTGTTCAGAGCCTTCGGAGGGAAAGCAAAGCACAGATACCTGCCTATTTACACAGTCTGGCTTGCTTCAGTTAACACAGTGTAGGCAGAGAACTGAGCAGACTCAAAAAATCCCAATCAGGGGATGTGGTTCTCTGCCCAGGAGAGGTGATACCTGAGGAGCTTAGAGTGGGTGTGTGACGGGGTTTGACTCACAACGCTAGCACCTCCTGCTGGCTGTCCCAGGGATTAGCTGTGTTAGCCAGCATGCCTTCTTCTGGTGATGTCTTGCTGCCATCACTTCTGCTCCAGGACCCACATCACTCTAAGGACCGCGGCATCCTCTTCAGGACACAGCCCTCCAGCTGTGCCACACTCTGTGCTCCCCACTTCTGGGTGACCTGCGGTCCACTGTCCAGCCACTTCCCTCAGTGGTGACTGCAGCCCATTGTTCATTCCCTGGACCACTTCCCCATGTCCCCCAACACCTTCTTTGCCCTTACCTCAGAGCTTCAGCCTGCCAGTCTTAGCAGCTGGCCAGGAGCTCTCTCTAGCTTCCCCTGATCTGTCCAAGGTGCTGGCACTCCTTCCTCCTGCTAGGAACCTGACTTTCCCTCCTCAGCTCCAGGCAGCTACTGAAGCTGCTCTGCCCTGCAGCCCTTCTTATATGGGCCTGCCAGGCCTTGATTGGCTGCTCCTTGCAGCCCCTCTCCTATTGGCTGGTTTCTGCACAGCCTTCGTAGGGCTCTATTAACCCCTTACAGGACAGTGTGGGACAAATGCCCCACCACAGGGTGTATTGGGTGGATCACAAGGGGGAAATACTGGTGCGATTGCCCTGAACTGTGACACCAAGCTCCTTTAGTTACTGTGAGCCCACTGTACTGGCCTCAGAGGGAAAGAAAATTATAATCATATAGTCAAGAAATGTTTAAGATTTTCCTATAGGGAAATAGCTTTTCAGTGGATAATAGTGTTGTAATTTTTAACAATCAGGGATTAAAACAAAAGCCTTGTCCTATTGCAAAAGGAAAAGAAGGCAATATTTTTGTGACATGATGCTTTTTTTTAAAATGGCATTTATTTGAAGCTGATCAGAGGTTTGGAACATTAAAATAAGTCCTATGGGAGATGAATTAGAAGACTGCAGGAGGGGAAGTGGTTATAGATGCAAAAATACTATGCACATGGCTCTGCAATTTATCACATGGCTATCACCACCGTGTGTGTGTGTGCACAATATGTGTGTATGTAGGTGAAATAGCTCTTCTTCGTGTATATCTATATATAGTGATAAAGACATAAATTGTAGGGGCATATGCTATATTGCAGAGCCATGTGAATACTGATGTTATCATTCACCTCTGACCTTCTCATTTACCCTCTGCCTGCTAATACATTTCCCTGGGACTTATTCTAACATTCCAAATACTTGAGCAACTTCAAAGAGCCGCCATTTTTTCTTAAATCAACCTGTCAAGAAATGTTTTTTCCTTCTCCCACCATAGTGGAATTTCACCCACAAAAAGTTATACCTGCCCCAGGCCTAGGACGGGCAAGGTTATTTTGTCCTGGACCAGTGACAAGGTTTCTATATATAAAAATGTCACAACTGTGAAGTCCATTATCTCACAACTCTGCCTGGCTAGAAATGGGAGCTTTATATAGTGCATTGGGAACGGGAGATGCCCAATGAGACCCAACACTGACTTGATTCCTGGAAAGGGCCCAAGATACTGAGCTTTAACTCATGACATTTTTAGGTATAGAAAAGATATTTTAAATCATTTTAAGGCATTTCTATGGCTCACTCTGAGCCTCCATAGTTACTTTCTAACTAAGGCATCTGTTTTGCAGGCTCAGAAATACAGTGGTTTAAATATTTTTTAAAGTTTCTAAAACATGGATAAACTAGTTATTTTATTTTCTCTAACATATGTGACATATGCATAGATCAGACAATGGTCTTGTGTAGTATAAAGGTTTTATCAGCATTCATTTGGGATGACCTGCATGATTCACTAGAGGCTTCCGCATTCATGAGCAGTGTGACTATCGCAAATTCATGTTGATAAAACATTTATAACCATACCAGATCACTATGGATTACTCACACACAAGTGCCTGGCAATCTAACAGCAATACAAGGGCAAGTGATGGATCTAAATTCAGGATATAAACTTTGTTACTTACTTCCAGGCAAATATACAGGGACTGGGTTACTGAAGGCAGCTTCTTCATTCTCCATGGGAATGGTGTGAGACCAGCACAGCTTATTTTAGTGACTCTTCCAGCCAACTCAAGGCACAGCATTGACGGACTCCAGAGGAAGAAGTAGCATAGCAACCCTCTTCAGCGCAGGGAATGTCACTGTGGCTGAGGGTATTTGTGAGTTGGAGAAGGGGAAACGTAGAGGGATCCCCAGCATTGTTATGGACTCGGAGGACTCCTGCCTTCTTAAAAGGCTACAAAGTATTTTTGCTCATTCTTTTCATAAAAATAAAATATCAGCATCATTAATTCTAACACATACTGAACTACTTTTAACCTATATCTCAACTAATTAGTGATCTGACAGCTTGAGACTTGCAATTTCTTAATGAGGCTATTAAAGTTTCAGGGGCTATCAAAATTGTAGCAGGATGGATTTGGAATCATTCTAGAAATTAAAGCTAAATAACTAGATTTTAAATATCATCATTAAATATATATATATATATATATATATATATATACTGTATACACAGCATAAAAATTAAACCTACAGTAATGTTAAAGATCCAAGTTAAATCCACAAGGAAAGGAAATTCAGTGTCAAATTTGAAATACGCAGACTGTACTGGACACCCTCCATCACCTCATCACAATGAGAGTACATTAAAGAAAGCAGACCAGAAACATCCCTTTACCTAGTAGAGGGTATTAAGGTCCATTTTATCCTTAATTTTGAATTTTCTTTCTCTGTGGGATTAATCTATACTCTTAAATTTACAAGAAAGGGGCAGTGTGAGTCCCTTTATTTCTCATTTTTCAAATCTTAAAGATAATTGAATCAGTGCATATATATGAGACGCCACATATGCTTTTCCCTCTACTATGTTTGTGAGACCTTGTTAGGTACAAATGATCATGCATTATTGTTATTGCAATTTTATTACAAACATCTTAAAAAATAAAGTTTAAATGAATAGTTAAATCTGCTAAATAAGAACATGCTTGATGCTTGTGAGAAAGCGCTTTCATGTTCATGTATTCTCTACTCAGTTGTGTGAAAAGAGGATACGGTAAATTCTGGTGATTGCATGGCTCTTTTCCTTCATTTTTACAGTGATTTCGTATGTCTCAAAAAGCAGATCAGGTACTCCATTTCCGTGTAGCTATGTATGATTGTATGAGGTCACCCATCATTGTGGTGTCTGGGCAGCACTTTCAGAAAACCAGTCCATTTTCACAAGTGTTTTGCATTCACATTCTTAACAGAAGCTTTAAATGTTGGTGTCGTCTCATCTTTATGGTGGTCAGTTGATTATTCTTTTATTCTTGTTAATTTTAAAAAGCTAGAACAGGTGAATTAGAAAAGAACTGCAGATGTGAATGACTCACCTTTACCAAATATAATTGCTTTTAACATTTGAAAAAAAATGATGCCTAGAAAGGTAGACAGTTTGATTGTATGCTAGAGTAGCATTTAAATTCAAGTGTACCTGTCATCACATCACTACAGCAAACTGCTCCTGCTTTTTCTGAGATTATACTCAGAAAGACAAAAGGATGCAGGCTTTTATATTTCTTCATCAGAAGGGATCATAGTTGGGGCAATTCCCCCAAAGTAAATAGTTTAAAATGTAAAAAAGTGTTGCCATACTGTGAGACGTAGCATAGGTTGTAGCTTATATATATGGGTCTATAAACCTCTTAGGACAGGACAAAAATTAAGCATCTGCTCAGCCTGGTCCAGGTGAAAAGAGGGCTTTGCAGTAAAAGACATGGGCATAAATAATAAATAGTCCCCTTCTCTTCTGGTCACCTGGGGGGATGGGTCAGCATCCTGACGCTGACATGGTACGGAGCTGCCTCCATGTGACAGGTTAGTCTGTGGCTCTCTAGCCTCCCTTAAAGGGGCAACACACCCTCTCTGACAAGCCAGACAAAGATTCCCACCACTTAATGTGTGGTGAGGTATGTAGGATGGCAGTGAATAACAGATGCGTATTGTAAACATGCAAATTCCAAATCAAAGCCATGCAGTCTGGAGATCCCTGACTCCACAGGCAACTTACACAGCTAGAGTGGATTTAAGATCTGACCCTTCAAGATTCTGAATGCCCCCAGTTCAATGACCCTGGTTTAATTGCAAGTTGAAGTTGCTGAGAAGTGCTATGGGATTAAGCCCTTACGAGTTTGACCGTGCTCCCATTCAGCTCAATGGAAAAACTCCCATTGATTTTGATGAAGCATGATCAGGTCCTTAGTGGATTTAAGATTGCCATCAAAAAAATCCTATCCAAACCTACAGTAGCTGGGGAGAAGGAAAGAAGAGATCCATGGGGGCACGGGATAAGGAAAGAGCTAGGTTTATTTGGGTTAGTTTAACTGTGAATTTCTGTATTTTTCATTCTATTTCAGTAACTTTAACTTTAAATGTCCAGGCTTCTTCATATTTTTGCTTTTTAGGAAAACTATAAAGGGCTCAATTGCTTTTTTCTTACATAATTAATAAAGGTTTACAGACATAACTGCAGCTTAAAGACATATTTAGCCTGGAAATAAAAAATAATTGTCTATTGCCTTGAGCCCGTCTGTTGGCTCAGTACTGCCCTTAGGACCAAGGTTTTAGCTGAAAATCTTTCTGCCTCGAAAATAATGTATGTATTGGTATGTATGCCTATTCTGTCAATGTTGCTGTTGCTGTCTTTCTTGTCATAACTGCAGCATGCATAATAAATGGTATAGTATTATAAAGTTTATTTATTTCATACATAATTGGAGATATGTATGGAATGCCCTCCCTAAACTAGTTCATAATCCATTTCTCTTGTGGCTCAGCCACCCAGTGATGACGAGCCTGAGTGACAGTCAGAGATACTTGACTTTTAGTATTTTAAAAAAAGAAGGGTGGAAAAACTTCAAATGATTTAGAACAATTAAGTTGACTAAATGTTTGTTAAAAAGCCTCGTTAACGCAGTCCAAGGTGCTGAAAGTATTCTTGGAGAAATTGCTAAACTGAAAAATGCATGATATAAGTGCTGTGCCATGTTTAGGGTAACCGAGATTCCATCTTTAGCTATTGTAGGAGGCACCTAAAGAACAAGAGTCCATAAATAATACACAGTAATACATCTACAGTACCAATATAATGTTAGTACATATGGTACATTACAATCTTTTCCATATATCAAGTCTAAAAACAGCCCATAATTGCAATGAATTATTTAAAACAAAACCGATTTGAACAAACCTACTTGGAAGATTTAATGCAAGGCAGACTATCAGTGTTTTTCCAAAATGTTCTAAATGTTTCACTAGAAACGTTTTAGATGTTTTTGTGAAGTTCAGTTACAAACCCACTTCTGATACATAGGTATCTGCTGGTCCACTGAAGACTAGCTTGAGATTACAGAGCTACTGTGCCACGACTATGTTTGAAAACTAGGTGTTGATTTAGTTTCGTTTTTATTTTAACCTAATATTTCAGTATGTCTAGTAGATAATAGAACTAGGCTCAGGAGTAGGGTCTAAACTTCCATTCTCTAATGCTGTGAGTATCAATTTCCTGATCCATTATGGACGCGACACTTGGGATCCTCAAGGTGAGGAGAAAAGATTAGCTGTGCTGCTCCCAGAACAATCTGATGGCCTATGAAATGATATTGGCAAGAACTTCAGAAATAATCATTTGTCTGTTTGCCTGTCTTCTCACCTAGCCTGGTAGAAAGTAATAGCCCCTTGAGTTCTGGTGGAGTAATAAGTGAATAATAAGCTGGAGATTGATAGTGAAGATAGAAAAAAATATACTATTAAAGGGTCATGGTTGAGAGATAAGTATAAAAAGCCTAGAGTAAATGCATTTTCAAGGAAATATTTGATTTTCTTCTTATAGTCGGAAATGATGTTCTGTGATTAGACTGAATGAATGATTAACAAAGCTGTATGGTAGTATTAAGGTAACTTACATTCAAACTTCTATTGTCTCTAAAAATTATCAAAACAAATAATACATGGTATGCTTTTCTTTATTATTTTAGGAGTCGCAGCAGGTGTCTACAGGACACAGCAATCCAAGTAAGAATTACCTCACTTTACAGCTGGATTTGGTGGAGACGTTGACTGTGAATGTGAGAAACAAGTGAACAATAGGATAGTTGAGAAAAAAAATAGTGGAAACATGAAGCCTACTGGTCCAGTACAGGATCTCAGCTGGCAGGCTTCTGTTTTGTCCAAGTGCAGAACCTTGGGCGTCACAATCACTAACGGCTTGTAGTGGGGAAGGAGAGGAAACAATCCCTTTAGGTTGGCAATGGAAGGAACAATTTGCTCCATCATATCTAGTTCTGCTACACGTGAGAGAGATTTTACAGGGAAAAATAGTTGCTTTTCTAAAATGATAGGTAGTGGGTGGAAACTCTGTATCCACATACCAATGCGCACACAACCCCAACCTCCAAACTGCCTAAAATTTCTGAGAGTTTGCTTTATTATTTATTTATTTATGTATATGCAATGGCACTGTCACTGTATATGGTGCTATATAATATATGAAGTATGCCAAAACAATAACAAATACTGCCTCAAAAAGCATATAGTTTTGGGCTGCCTTTGATGTATAATTTTGACAAGGATGGCGAGTACGGAGCTTGCTTTGCTCACATCCTTGCCTATCCTCCTACTAAAGTGTACAGGCCATATTACAAAGCAGTTGTACTTTAATTGCATTTAGTTATTGGTAAAATACGTTATTGGCTGTGTGGAAAGAAAAGACTGAATTGTTCTATGAAACAAAGTATTAATCCTCTCTTCTGACACCCCTGACTGGTATTAATGTTCTTCAGCATATACAAAATACATGACCCTACCCTGTTCATGACATCAAAGCATCCCAACCAAAGGCTCTATTTTGTTAGCTTCATGACCTGTGAGCTAAAACAGAGCACTATTTTGAAGCTGGGTTTGAAGATGACAAATGCTCTGAGCCAGTAGACATGGCTTTGAAACTGACTGGTCACCCACTGGGTGCAGGAAGCAGACACCCAGAGGGAGAATGCTAGGAGACTTCAGGCTATTAATATGTTACGGCACTTTGCTAAGGAAGGGGCAGCACTGTGGAAGACGATGTTGTGAACAAGCAGGTGGTGGTGCCACTTCATTGCCAGCATCATTTTGATATTGCTGTGAGCACCAGCACTAAGGAAGTAATAAAAAGGCAAAGGGGATGGGGTTCTCTAGAAAAATAATGAATGTAGTAATGAAAGAAGGAAGCATTAAAGAGCCATAATAGATGAGGCTGTGCAAACACTTGAGGAATTCTGAGCATAATAAACACAAGAGCAGAGCTTGAGTGGTTTGTGATGACATCAGAATGCCTAGCATTGGTCATTGTTTTCCTGTGGTTTATTTTACCTACAGTACTTCATGGTCCTTGCAAAATCTTTAATAATGAAAAAAAAGACGATTAATATTGAGGTGGATAGCTAGGTTGGATAAAGTAAGATACACGTGCTGCCAAATCTTTACCTAGAACTTAGATTGAAACTGCAAGCTTGTTTTGAGGTTTTGGGAAATTGTAATAAATGGCTCTCTGTGAGGGAGGTGTCAACATGGCCTCTATCCTGCTTTACCTGGTTGCAAGTCTTTAGTGTCCCAGTAAGCTGATAGCCTCAGTATTAGCAGGTTTACTTTGGGAGTGGTCTGTTTGAAGCTTGTCATGAAGGATATTTTGACTCCAGCTGTTAAAAATATCTTCCAGTGGCACCATTTTGGGGGGGGACCTATGCACCTCCCTGAGTTTCATACTAGAGGTCTGCTCACAGCGCATCCCCTAGCCCCAGAGGGAGCTTGAGTGAGGAATGTGATGAGGTCTGTGCTGCTCTCAGCTTCTGCCCATGGGGCAAGGAGTTTGTTTATAAACAGAGGCAGGGTGATTAAGATAACAAAGGGCTTGTCATTAAATTAAATTAAGGATCATTAGATGATCCTGAAAGCATTGCCAGGCGCTCCAGTTAAAAAATAGGAAACAAAGGATAGGAATAAATGGTCCGTTTTCAGAATGAAGAGAGGTAAGCAGTGATGTCCCCCAGGAGTCTGTTCTGGGACCAGTGCTGTTCAACATATTCATAAATGATCTGAAAAAAAGGGGTAAACAGTGAGGTGTCAAAATTTGCAGCTGATACAAAATTACTCCAGATAGTTAAGTCCAAAGCTGACTGCAAAGAGTTACAAAGGGATCTCACAAAACTGGGTGACTGGACAACAAAATGGCAGATGAAATTCAGTGTTGATAAATACAAAGTAATGCACATGGCAAAATATACTCCCAACTATACATACTAAATGAAGGGGTCTAAATTAGCTGTTACCCGTCAAGAAAGAGATCTTGGAGTCATTGTGGATAGTTCTCTGAAAACATCCATTCAATGTGCAGTGGCAATCAAAAAAGCGAACAGAATGTTGGGAATCATTAGGAAAGGGATAGATAACAAAACAGAAAATATCATATTGCCTCTCTATAAATCCATGGTATGCCCACGTCTTGAATACTGCGTGCAGATGTGGTCACCCCATCTCAAAAAAAGATATATTGGATTTGGAAATGGTACAAAGAAGGGCAACAGAAATGATTAGGGGTTTGGAATGGCAACATTTGACTGTGCACAGATTTTAGAGCGACAAAGTGGGTGAGGTGATATCTTTTATTGGACCAACTTCTGTTGGTGAGAGAGACAAGCTTTCAAGCCACACAGAGCTCTTCTTCAGGCCTGGGACAGGAGCTCCCAGCTTCACAGCAAAATGCAAGGTGGATCAGATTGTTTAGCAAATGTAGTTAGCACATATTGTAAGGGACCATTCAAGTGGCCATTCCACCTCTACCCGGGTGCATGTTATTATTTGGATGACATTCTCATCTTTGCTAAGACCCATCCTGGGCATAATGCTATTCTGGACCAGGTGCTAACCTGACCCCAACAAGCTGGCATAAAGTTGAATGTGGCCAAGTGCAGTTTTGCAAAAGATGCTGCTATAGACTATTACTCACGTTACCCCTTTGTATTCATAATTTCACAAGACACCTACCTCTGAGGAGCTAAATTCTTTATTTACAATGTTTGGCCTACCAGAGAGCCTTGTTTCAGACGAGACACCTTTTCTATAAAGAGAGTTTGAAGATTTTCTGATGAGTATTGGTACAGTACGTTATAAATCTGCTGTGTACCATCCCCAAGGAAATGGCATAGTGGAAAGACTACATAGGACTCTGAAGAAGTGTGGAGCTAGCATACTGCAGGAACTTCTAGGTATACTCTTACCTATTGCATTAAGTCATGCTTTATATGTTATTTGGAGTACACCTCATGAAAATACTGGAGAAACCCCATTCTGCTGGCTGTTCAACTGACCTATGAGCACCAAGTTGTCTATGCTAGTGGAAAAGGCTCATCCCACCCCTTTGCCATCCTCGAAGCCAACTGATGTGACTAGGAAATATATGACTTTCAACAAGCGTATCCACACAAGACTCCACACATTCTATCCTGGACAAGCAGTGTATGTTAGGTGAGGGTCTGGAAGCATTTTCATTACTCATGGCATGATCTTGCGGGCTGCAGGGTACGGAGCATGGCAAGTGTGTTTACCACACAGAGAACACATTGTTAACCAACAAGATATACTTCCTACTGAAAGGGAAACAGATAGGGAAGAGGAGACTTTTTTCTGTATGATGCTATGTGGCAAATCAAGAAAGCTGTGCCACATCAATAGAATCCAGCCCCTGAGCTGAATCAGAGGTGTAACCTACAGCCCTGGGATCACCGGCTGCCTCTGGCAAGGTACTGCTGAACTTTTGGGGAGAAAAGAAGGAAATTGTGGTGACTGATATGTGTGTTGCCTTTCTGCATCTTGTTTCCTGCTCCCTCTTCCATTTCCTGTTTGGTTCCTGGTTCCTGCTCCCTGAACTCCATGTTCATGACTTAACTGTTTCATGGTTATTACATGATTTGATTGACCACCTACCCGCGTGTCTTGCTTCATTTTTCCTTGTGTTTTGAAGATTGTGGTCTAGCTAGGTTGACCACCCATCCCAAATTGGACAGGACAGTCCTGAAATGAAGAGTTCAAATCCTGGACTCAGGCTGAATGACTCCAGGACAGCATTTGTCTCAGATTCCCTGTGGCGCTGCTCTGTGCCTGCCTGAGGCTCAGGGGCAGACCAGCCTCTTCCCAGTGGGAGGGGAGCTGAGGTGGGCCTTAGTCCCCCTTGCCAAGAGGCTCCAGCCCCTCCTCCTCCTTTTCCCCCAAGGCCTTACGCCCTGGCCAGGCCAGAAGCTGGAGACAGACAGAAGTAAGAGCCACCCAGGGAGCCCGGGTCACTGTGGGGAGCCCTGAACCTTCCACCTGTCCTGGGCAGCGCGCCCTGTGGGTAGGGACACAGGCCGCGGGCTGCTCTTGGTACCCTGGTCTCTCACCCAGGGCCGGTGGAGGGTCTGGGGCTCTCTACAGCAGCCCAGGCTCCCTGGATGGCTCTTACCATTGCCCAACTCTGGCTTCCAGCCTGGCCAGAGGGTGGGGTCTCGGGGGAAGAGGAGGAGGAGCAGCAGATGGGGTCACTGATGAGGGTGGGGCTCCTGCATCTGTTCCACTTTTGCCTTTTGAAAAGATGGTCACCTTTGATCTGAGGTTACACTTGTGAGGTAGGTAGTACAATCACTATTATCCCCATTATACAGACAGGGAAACTGAAGCATAGACAAATTGAGCGACTTGCTCAGCCTCATAAATGTAAGCTACACCTACTTGGTGTGGCACTCTGTCCCTCTCTAATCGTGGCTATGCCAACTAGAGATTGATGAGCCTGCTACAGCCTTGGCTAAGACAGTCTCAAGCAGTAGAGGCTCATGCACTAAGATCTGGCTCCCAGGTTTGATCCCTGCGGCTGTCAACCCACCCAGGGTGTCAGCATTACATAAAGAACACGGGCAGAGCTGGTAATAGAAATTGATTACCAGTCTTCTGCTTTATCTAGAAAATTAATATGGTGGTCTTCTGGGAGACAAGAGACAAGAACCCTGAGGCTTGTTGGGGTTCCCCCAAGACCTCTCCAACTTGGTTCCCCAAGAACCCAGTTTGACTCCAGTCTTGTTGTCACTCAGGTTCCTTTATTTGGCATACAGTAAAGCTACGCTGAGTTCATCAGTCCCAAGCATAGGGGGCGATATAGGCTGTGCCACACATCCAAAGTTACACAGAAAACCTCTTCCTTTGTATGCATTTACACATTAGATTGCATTTACAGTACATTTCATGACACGTTTTGGGATTGGCTTGATCACTTTGTAAGAACCAATCCCTGTACAATACACACTATCTCTGCACAAGTTACTCTTTACCTTATGTCAGGGGTAGGCAACCTATGGCACGCATGCCGAAGGCGGCACGCAAGCTGATTTTCAGTGGCACTCACACTGCCCGGGTCCTGGCCACCAGTCCGGGGGGCTCTGCATTTTAATTTAATTTTAAATTAAGCTTCTTAAACATTTTAAAAATCTTATTTATTTTACATACAACAATAGTTTAGTTATATATTATAAACTTTATAGAAAGAGACCTTCTAAAAACATTAAAATGTATTACTGGCACTTGAAACCTTAAATTAGAGTGAATAAATGAAGATTCGGCACACCACTTCTGAAAGGTTGCCGATCCCTGCCTTATGTTATGGTCCACACTTGTCTTATCCATTGTTATCTTGTCCATTGTAAATGGTTCCCTGAGTGCTCCCCCTTATCTTAGCTAGTACAGACATTCTGGTTCCAGCCTGCCGATCCATGTACCTCCCTAATCCTGTCTCCCAAGAAATGAGGCCTCATCCATGTACAGTTATTCATGTCAAGCCAGGCCTATAAGGCCCTCTCCTCTACCCGGGGTACAATGGGCCAATCTCAGTTTATCCCCCCCACCCCTTCAGAAAGTGGATTTGAAATTGGCCTTTGCACTGTGGGTCATTTTACCCTTAGAATGTGAAATGGTAAAAGAGCCAATTCAGTGGGAAGCAGCAGAAACCAGCCAGGTCTACAGCTGAAAAACTGAGGCTAGAAGGCCTTCAGCCATATGCACATGCTCCAGAAGATCAGTCTTTTGGAAGAGAGCAGACCAACAGCAGGCCTGCAAAAGAAGTAGGACATTTAGTGAGACTCTTGACCAGCTGCAAAAGACTGAGATGGAGGAGGGAAAGGGCCTCATAACTTGCCCAGAAAATGATACCTGGAGCTAAAGAAGATTAGCTGGTTGCTGAATTGCCTGTCCCTCATAATAGTACCTTCAACTAAGGGGAGACAAGGGCAGATTGGTTTTGGCAGTTTGTGTGAAGTCTTGGAAGATAGAGTGTGGATAACAGTGGGCTCAAACGGGTCAGGTAGCTCAGAGAAGCAACACCCTTTTACTAGGCTTGTCAAACTGAATCTGAATTCCAAATCTTTAAATATCATTCATGCTTAGTAAATACATTTTTTTTTTTTTTTTCTGTGACTCATTGGAGTAATGGTACAGTTCTTTCTGTGGAGTCAGTAAGGCATTAATTCTCCATTCTCCCTCTTACTCTTATATACGGTATAATTGCTCTCCCTTCCCCCTGAAATGTTAAGTGATTATGAGCATTAAAGCAGCTGCAAACATTCACTGTAGAGTAATTCATTAATATCCTGTTTGGCTAAATAGCATCCCTGCTACACAACCTATTCTGCTTTTCTTATTGCCACAACACTAATTGCTGCTAAGAGCAGAACTAAAATACTGCAGCTTTTCCAATTGGTGCAGAACAAACTGCCAACAACTCACATCCCATCTGCATGCAAAACCACCAATGCTCACTGTACTAATGTGTTATTAACAAAAGTATTCGTTACAAATAGAATATCTATGATGAACTATTATTTGTTTTGGGATGTAGATATGGTACTGACCGATATTTCAAGGCAGATTGTTGCTAAGCCAGTCTATGTGCCGGATATCCAGTGACAGGCATAAGGGGCATAACTAGCCATGGAACTAAACCAAAACAACATCGCCAAACCCTGCCTGAACTTTGGGAAATTCAGAGCCAGACCCAAATTTCCCAGCTCCAACTTGACAACTGAATCTGAACACCATGAGACTTGAGAGTTTTGGATTTAAATTTGCACTTCACCTCTGGTCCATGTCTAGTCACAACCAAATACTCAGAACTTATCTCCCCACCCCACCCCAGAATAACCCTATTTTCTTTGGGAGAAAATGATGACACAGGTACTTATATTTTAATTAAAGCAACTGTGTGGAGAAGGCATCTAATAGTTAGAATTGGGAGTCAGGATTGCTGAGTTGTAATTTCTGTCCCAGATACTAACTCACTGTGTGATATTGAGTAACTCCTTCAGCAGCTCTTTCTCATAATCAAGTCTCTAAAATGGGCTCATAGGGTGTTGAGTCTTAAGTAATCTTTTGAAGGCACAATGTAATTATATAAAATATACAAATTATCTTGTGATCATTCTGTGTGTAGCAAATGTTTGATAAAAATAGATATGACTAGCTTCATGCCAATGCTTCTGATTGGTTTAAAATTGTGGGTCTGATTTCAAAGGCTGATTGGTGATAAGAACAACTGATTTTTTCCCCTCCTTCCCAAAGATAAGCAATGTTTCAGAGAAACCCTCCCTGCAAGCCTAGAAGGCCTAGAAACATTTGATGCAGGTACCAAGTGTGTAAGCTAACCAAAGGCTCCTTTGCTGGACCCCTGTTCCTAGAAGCATCATTATCTTGAACAACTATTTCAGCTTGTTTCAGGATTGCACTGGGGAAAGTACCAGGAGTGAAATCCATTTAAGTCAATGGCAAACCTCCCATTGACTTCAAAGGGGCCAATATTTCTCCCCAGACGTTCATTTCATACCCTAAGTTCTTCCACCTTTGATTTAGTGAAAATCAAACTTGAGAACTTTGGCAACAGCTATTCATATGTAACGCTGAAGTTCTTGTAATGTCTTGAGGCCTGATCCAAAGTCCTTTGAAGTCTATTAGAGATTTTTGATTGAGTTCAATGGGTGTGAATCAGGTGCTACACACAAGAAAACACTGAAATGATTTCAAACGTTATTTCACAGAATACAAATGAATTTTGATTTGACAAAACTCATTAAAACTGAATGGAAGAACACTGGTCCCATCTGTAAGATAGTCAGACTCCAGCTCTTCATCTCCTGTTCATCACAAACTTGCATTTAAACATCACTTCAGTGCCCATTGGTAAACAAGTGCCTGGGCCGTTGGCTAGCATAGAAACAATATTTTGCACTCAGATTATAAATGGTGTGTAAGCAAGGTGGCATGATATCAACAACAAAACAAAACAAAAATCCAACCCTCTCAAGGCTTTCAGACTAGGGTTACCATACGTCCGGATTTTCCCGGACATGTCCGGCTTTTGGAGATTCAAATCCCCGTCCGGGGGGAAATCCCCAAAAGCCAGACATGTCCGGGAAAATCCTGGGCGGGGTGCTGGG